AGTCTTGGTTGAGAAGGAGGGAAAAATTGACGAAGGAGCCAATCCCTCGAAAACCGTCCCTTCTACCGATAAGGAAATAGACGGGAACCTAATTCCCGAGGCAATCCCAGTAACAGAGCGGCATCCAGAATGGTTTAAACCTATCGAGGCCTCACTGGAAAAGAAGAAGAACACTGTCGAAGACACTGATGGGTCATCGACGTACACCGCCGCAGCTGCCATATATCATTTTGGGGCACTGGGATCGAGTGCCCCATCATTGAGGATATTGCAGCGACCTTGACAGAAGAGGAATCGCTGAAAATAGTAAGATCTATCAATCTTTAAATTCATTTACTCTTGAATTCCTGCGATACTTTTGCTGAGATCTAGCATGTATTCTTTATAGTTGACCACCTCGATGGCTAGCATTCTTATGCGAGAAAAGAAACTAAAACAAGAGATTGCTAGTCTGAAACTTGAAAAGGAACTCCTTGAGCAAGAGAAGTTAACGCATGAGGAATCGATAAAGGAGGAGCAGGCCATGAGGTTTGCCAAGGAGAAGGAGTTAGCCACGGTCCAGGCCATATACAGGGAGGTTGAGACCAAGCTGACAGAATATAGAGAGTCCCACGTTCCTAAATCAGATCTGCAGAAATGAATGACTGCCTTTTGGGCAAGAATGGTGCCAACTGGTGGATTGGCAAGCATCCTGGTGAGCATTAGCAACGATGCCAAGGCATTGGGGGGACATGGTGTAGCTGTTGCCGCTCTCGAGAGGATGGAAAGCGGAAGGACTATCAATACCGGATGGCTTCAACAATTCATAAAGCCGCATCCTAAGAAGACTCTCCACGAAGCCATAAAGAATGGACTGCAGCAACTCTCTGATGGTCAACTTCCACTGTTCAGGCCATTATGCAGCGTCGTTGCCCAGATGGGTTCATCAACAGAGATTGCTTCTTTTGAAGGAGATGCCCCTACAGTGCTTCTTGTTGATCCTGGAGAAGAGGTACATATGCCGGAGCTGCCCCAGATTTCATTGGTGCCGAGGTGGTATGGGAAGAAGATTCTTCGGAGCAGGTCGAGGAAGACGGGAAGAATGACTACGAGCCCGAAAAGGAAGGGACATCGACTCATACCCCTGTCGAGGAGACAAATGAAAGTCAGCCAAGTTGACCTCCCGGCCAAAATGACGTATGAACTCTCTTTTTGTAATAGGACTTTTGCCACTAAGGTTATAGACCTTCGCCTGCTGTAGTGATTCTTTAACAATTTTTGCCAACTATGAATTAGATCAGCGCCTCCTTCCTCTAACATTTGATATACTTCTGCCAATTATGCCAGGATTCATACTTCGTTCATCTAGTACGTCTGTTGATTCTCGAGGAAGACGAGATCACGAGGTTTCCAATGTATACGATGATTTATTCAATGTTGAGGAAATTTGGGGATGTTCACAACACTGATATAGTGAGAGCTCTCGAGAAAGAACTTACAGATGTTGTCAATGCACTTAACCTACGAGCGCACTCCCGCTTAGTGCAGCGCTTTAGACAACAAGAGGAAGAATGAAAGTGTCGACTCCACCAATATGACTTGGACTTTCACAATTCCTTGTCTCTAGAAGCCAATATTAGTGAGAAGATGGAGAACCTGAAGAAAGAAAAAGCTCGACTGAGAAAGCGCGAGAATTTTGTTGTGTCCCCATGGTTCCTCGAAAAATTTGACACGCTTGCTTTATTCGAGGCACAGATAAAAGGTCATACAGAACGCTTTATCGCTGCAATTGATCTTCTAAAGAAGATGACCAAAGAGGCAGAATTCTACTCGAAGCAGGCTGCCATTCTATAGAACATACTGCCGGACCACGAGATTTCATTACCCATTCTCCAGGATCTCAACCCAAATGATGAAGCAAAAGAAAGGGTAGCCGCCGAGGAGTATCTTCTTAGAATCAATGAACAAGATTGGGAGATCCTAGATTTAAAAGATAAACTAAGCCAATGCCTCCATAGGCTTAGGGTGATGGGATGTTCTGCCGTTATTAAGCCTTCCCGATTCAACGCTAAGGGGGCAGATCTCAAGATTTAAGTATATATCAAGTGTATGTTGATACATTATCCTAACCTCGCACTAAATGTGAGGACATTGTGTTTGCACTGAGGTGTATCAGCGTCAGTTATTTGTTTGTACTCGAGTATGTTTGTATAGTGCTTGTTTGGCCGAATGTAAAGTACACGGCACTATCGAGGAATCGCATACGGATCCCTCGATTTAACAACACTGCGATCTACGGTAAGTGCGAGGAGAGATCCTTTGCTTAAGTGTCCGAATGTTGAATACACGGCTCAATTCGAGAATGGCCCTATAGAGGGTGTCCATCTCGATGACTAGTCATAAAATAGTGTCGACACATGCAATGTATAGAAGAAATATGTAATGACTTTTATTAATAATTCCCAAGGACCCGGGTTAGCATTATATACAAATAAATGAAAGCAACAAATCACTCCGCGAATAAAATAGTAAATAACATATAGGGAATCTAAACATAGAACTTGCGTAGATTCTGAATGTTCCACCATTGAGGGAGAATGGTTCCCGTGTCATCTGTCATCTACAATCGGTAACTACCCGATGGAGAGACCTGAATGACTCGATAGGGCCCTTCCCAGTTGGCCGCCAATTTCCCAGGGGTTTCTGCTTGACTGGCTTCATTCTTCCTAAGTACTAAGTCCCCGATTACGAAGTCAGTGCTCTTGACTCGTTTATTATAGTTTTTCCTGAGGACCTCTTTGTACTTGGCTTCCAGGACTTTTACGGTATCTCACCGTTCCTCGAGCAGGTCAAGGTTAGTCAGGATATCTTCATTATTGATGTCTTTGACAAAATTGATCGTTCGAGGACTTGCAAGGCCAATTTCGACTGGGAGGACAGCATCCATTCCATAGACTAAACTGTATGGCGTTTCGTCTGTCGAGGAGTGAGCTGTGGTGCGATATGCTCATAAAACGTGAGAAAGTTCATCGACCCATGCTCCTTTGGCGTTGTGCATCCTTGTCTTAATTCCATGTAGAATGGCTCTGTTGATTGACTTAGTTTGACCATTTGCTTGCGGATGGGCAACAGCAGAGAATCGACGCTCGATCTGCATCTCCGCACACCATGACTTGAAGGGATCGTTCTCGAACTGGGTCCTATTGTCTGATACAATTACCTTGGGCACTTCAAACCGGCAAACTACATTTTGCCAGAAAAAATTCAACACTTTCCTTCTTGATATCGAGGCCACTGGTTTTGCTTACACCCACTTGGTAAAATAATCTACGGCTACGATAACCCATCGCAGCCCTCCTGCCCCTTTTGGAAAAGGGCCGATGATGTCGGTGCCCCACTGGTAGAATGGCCAAGGACTTTGTATGGTTACCATCTCATGCTATGGCTGTCGGGTAATCGGTGAAAACCTCTGACATCTGTCGCACTTTCGCACGAACTGAGAAGTATCCTACTCGAAGGATCTTTTTGGCCAAACTTCTTGCTCCTATGTGGGCTCCACACGATCCCTCGTGGACTTCCTCAATAACATATGCTGCTTGCTTTAGTCCAACACACCGTAACATCGGCAGCAAATACCTGTGCTTGTAGAGGATTCAATCTCTCAGAGTATTCTTAACTGCTTTCACCTTCAACGCTCGAGCTTCCGACTTGTTAGCGGGGAGCGTTCCACTTTCGAGGAATTAGATGAATGGCGTCATCCACATATCTTTATCTTCGATGATAACAAGGGAAATTTTAGGCTGAATGCTGGGTTCGGGGAGTACTTCAACCCAAACCTTGTGACTGAGATTAGTGAAATTTCTAAGTTGGGTCATCTTCCTGGTTCGGATCTTCGCCCGCGAATGTTTACATTTGGACTGGATCAAGACCTATTCATTTCATATGGGATGGATAGAGGTCAGTTTTATTTAGTGTCAAGTCTTATTTATTTTGAACAATTAACACTTGACAGGGGCACTTAGCGAGTCCACATCCACTACCCTTGATGGACCGGCCCGTTACGCAGCTCTAGGGTCCAACCGCCTCTTGGATGGCGGTGTAATATTACTAACCCTAGTAATCTTCGGTACTTCCCAAGTCTATAAATAGGGACCATTACTTCACAATGGAGATATGCTATCTTAATCACCAATCAATATATACACGTTGCTTCTATAACCCTATTGACTGACTTAAGCATCGGAGTGTCGACCCTCGGGAGACCCCCGAGGCTCTTTTTTACAGGAAACCCTAGTCAGAGTTCTACAGCCGAGTCGGAGATATAATTCCAGGCATCGTCAGATAATAAATCATTGACCAAATACGCATTGATTTAAGTAACACAAGTATCTAAAGATTATGCTTAACTACTAACGAAAAAAGAACTTCAACCTTTTGTTTGCAAGATAATGTTCAAAGTGACTTATTCACATATGCAATGAACCTTTGGTACTACTAATCTCTGCTAAGTGTTTTGTTTGGAATAAATTCTTCCAATCGCACATATGCAATGAACCTTTGGCCACTGGCTCGCACATTCAACGAAGCTTGATAATTAAGGTTGCCAATCGCACTAGTTCGTTCTTCCTAAATTAATTTATTCTTTGATTGCATCTTTTCTCCTATCCGAAGTAGAAAAAAAACCAGAATAAAACAAAACAGGGTGGGTACAAACTACAAACAACTCACTGTTAGTTTCCTCACCACATAAATTTTGTTTTAAAAAAATGGAAGAAGCTATTGTTAGTAAGAAAAAAATGGAAGAAAGTTTTAAGAAAGTTATCTCCATTTTGAATTAGCAAACAAAGAATCATCAGTGTTATTGACAGGAGACACTCAATAATATCTCCATTTTGAATTAGCGAAACAGAATTATCAGTATTATTGACAGTAGACATTCAAAAGAATATAGAGAAAAAAAAAATACTCCATTCGTCTTAAAATATTATTTTTAGATTTTTATTTTTAGTATAAAATGAACTGTGAAAATTAAATCTAAACAATAATTTTAAGACAGAGAAAATAAATAAAAAAGGCAAAAATATTACGCAAGATGCATTACTTATTAGACTACATTGAATTTAGAAAAAAAAATCTTCCATCCTGCCAGCAGACTTCTGCTCATCATACGTACTCACAACATCAAACATGACTCAAACAGACTCCGAAGTTGAATCCTACCCTCCATTATTCCGACCAAAGAAAACCCTCCAAACAACTGATGATATCAAACTAGATCACGCGACTTTTGACAACTCCGATGAATCGAACCAACCCACGAATTCCAAGGTCCTAGAGTTCGATTCCGAATTCGACCCGCTTCCAGTGATAGATTTCAAGAGCTTAAACAACACAAAGCTGGACGAGGCTTGCCGGGAATGGGGGATGTTCCGGCTGATCAACCACGGGATTCCGATGACCCTTTTGAACCAACTTCACACACAAGCCCGGCAAGTGCTTTCCCTTCCATTTGAATACAAACAAGCTTCTTTCACTCCTCCTATGTCCTACTTTTGGGGAACCCCTGGCCTAACTCCATCTGGGGTCGCCATAACAAGACCTCAAAACTTGAATTGGATCGAGGGTTTTCATGTACTCTTAAGTCCTTTACCTCAGCTTCTCTATGAAGATCCGCTTCTCGATTCTTTCAGGTTAGCTGGCAATATTTAATTTATTTATTTTGCTGGTTTTGTTTATTTAATTTAATTTAAATTTTATATGTATTTTTTTTGGAATTTTATTTGATTTGTTACCTGTACTTGCTTGTTAGTATGTCATCATGGCTGACTATCCAGGCTGCCAGTTACTTCGTTTGTTTCTACTTGTTGAATGCATGAACCTGGAATACCTCGTGTTTAGTGTGAATGTGATATATGTTCAGTTTAAAATTATTGGATAACTTACACTGTATTTCAATAAAATTTCTTACTTTCCCTCCCTCTTGAGACAAAAATAAATAAATAAAAATAAAAGAAAAGAAAGAAAGGAAATGATTAAATATCTCGGTGATTTAACTAACTGTCAAGTCTCAATTTTGTCAACCTGATTCTAATGAGTGGCGAAGTGTTTGCTGGCCGCATAACATTGGTGTATGGCCGACAAAACACAATTAGTTGATCAACGTAGAGGTGATAAAGGTCTAATTAGTGTTTTTTCTTTCTAGGGAGGCTTTTGGAAAATGATGCTTTTTTTTATTATGGAAAAGAAGCATGCATGTACCATCTTAATTCCAACACTTGATTAAGACAAAACATTAATCAATGAATGCTATTAATCACAACCATACAATCAAAAGTTGAAGAGTTTATCCAAAATGATCTTCAAAAGTTTTAACTTGTGGAAATTCACGTTGTACAAACGTAGACTATTGGTTGAGCTCATGACCCATATGGCACCAAAGGACAAAGTTGATACACGACACAACTTGATAAGAGTGGCGTAAGAAATTGTCATTTTTTGATGGTAGCACTTGCTTGGAAGATTATGATAATAGTCAAAGAAATTGAAGGAATCACTTGAACATAGATGTTGTCTTCGATCATTAACAAAATTCTTTTTTTTTCCCCTTTTCAATAATCAGTAAATATGTGATGTGACGTTAGAGAGTATTCAAGATAAAGAGAGACCAATCGAAATTGCACATTATATAGTCATCGAACAGATTGAACCAAGTTAAAGCGATAATTTTCTACAGTAATAAATTGTTATTCCATGAATGTAAAAGTTCTTCCTACTCATTCCATTCCCTTTCAAATTTTGATTAGTATTCACTCTTCATGCTTAGCTCATTCTTATATACTTCTCTATACGCCCCCAAAAAAAAAAAAAAAAAAACTCTTGTTAATTTATGTTACACGGTATCTTTTAATTTCATCTGCGTACACTTTAAGTTAGATTTTACTTTTAGAATATCTATCATATCAACATTTAATAATGGATCACAATCTAATGCCTAAATTTTGAAGTACGATGTGATCGTTACCTATATTTTTCAGCACTCTCTATTTTTGGGGGATGCAAAAGTTATTATAAAGGAGAAAAAATTCAATTTTGTAGGCCACAAGTACAGAGTATATAATAAATTGGGGAATCATCTGGTTGCTTTATATATTAATTTTGCAGAAGCATACTGGATGAATACGGGAGGCACCAAAGAAGGGTGGCGACAACAATGTTGGAAGCCATGGCAATAAATCTACAACTGGATCCTATGCGTACCAAGTCATATTTATCTCCTGGTACGGGTCACCTGAGAGTTCACAGGTACCCACGTTGTTTTGATCAGTACTCTGATGATGTTCCTCCACAAAACAATGATGATCATCATCATCATCAGGCCCAACCACAACAACATTTCCAGGCCCGATGGGGCATCGATGTCCACACCGACAGCTCCATTCTCTCCATCCTCCACCAAGACGACGTTGGCGGTCTCCAAGTCTACAACACTTCCGATCATCAATGGTTCAACGTCAAACCTCAATTCGATTCTCTCATCGTCAACCTTGGCGACATGATGCAGGTCCGTCATTGTTTTTTTTTTTCTCGTACATATTTTTCAGTGAAATAATTACTCTGATAACACGACTTATACAAGATGAAAATTACTAATTAATGTGTAAATGGCATTTGTCTAATTCATCTCATTTTATAGAAATTTATTCCCTCCGTCTCATAAAAATAATCCATTTTTGACTCAAAACTCAAAAGTGGATTATTTTTCTGGGACGGAGGGAGTATTATGCAAAATGTAAAGTTTCTTTCAATCCTTTTTTTGGGATCCTAGGCTATGAGTGATGACAACTATATAGCTGCAAAGCATAGAGTGAAAGTGAACAAGCACAAGGAGAGAATCTCTGTGGGGTGTTTCGTGTTGGCTCATGAAGATGCTGTGATTGAGAGCTCAAAATACAAGCCCTTTACTTATGCTGATTTTCGCGCTGAAGTCCAACAAGATTTGAAGACCGTGGGCTATAAAATTGGGCTCCCAAAGTTCAGGCTTAATAATGAATAATGATGCCTTTTAGTCGAAGGCATTGTACGAGGTTGAGACCGTAATCATATGAACTCAGTTCATACTTCATAGTACAACAAAAGATTTCTGCCGTGGGTTGTACTCCGTTCAGTCCTTAATATGAGACATTTTGATCTTATTTTAGGTTTAAGTTGATATATATTTTTAATTACCAAAAAAATTTTAAAAATATATCTTCACATTCGTTGTATTCTCTTGATTGTTAAGAAATATTTTTAAAGTTTTTTTACCAATTAAAAATACGTACTAGATTAAACTTAGGACAAATCAAAATGCCTTATATTAAGGACCAGAGAGAGTAGTTCTTTGCTTTTGTTCGTTCGGAAGTCAAAATTTGACTTCTTTAAACTTATGATCCGAGAGGTTTTTGACTCGGGTGCAAGTATTATTTTCGTTTTAGTTAAATATAGATTAGAACCCAATTTCCTCTTCTTCTTCTTCTTCTTTTTTTTTTTTTTTTTTTTTTAAACAAGTGGACACCAATTAAAACTAACTACAACATACGGTTTTCTTTTGGGTGTGAGGATAAAATTGGAAGGCAAATGTCTATTTTCAGCCAGTTACGTTAGTACCCCAGGTACATCATGCTGTAATAATGATTGTAAAATTTTTCTAGGTAATAGATGATATGTCGCCTAAAAACTTGAAATCTTTTAGAAATATTTATATTTTCAAAATTTTAATCTTCTTCTACGTAAAGATTAAAGAAACAAAAATAGACCAGACATAAAGATCGTGTAACTACTGAAGTAATTTGTGAAATGAAAGTATACAGACATAAATATTAAAGAATATTATACAGTGTAGAAACAAATATAATGATATAGTATATATATTTCTTTTTTTCAAATTAAAAAAATGATACAGTGTTGATCGAATAGACACATTTATTAATACAACGTCAACTACCAGATCAAGTCAGAAAAAAATAGATAAAAATCAAAATTTCAAAATTTGAAGGTTGTCTTGTACAAGGGGCGAAATGGATAAAAAACGGACTTGGAAGTACTGTTAAAAAGTAATTTGAAATTAGTGAGTTACCGCTGATTTTTTTTTTTTTTGATACAATGAAAGGAGTCAAAACCTAAAAGGGATGGGATTTTTCTAACCACCAAAATTACTACTTGAAGTCACCATTTTTTAAGAATTTCCATTTTGCCCTTGTTATTTTGTCCAAACCCAAATGAAGTATAGAGAGGGGGAGAAGGGGATAGAGAGAATAAACCACTCGGACAGAACCGAGCAAGTCATCCGGTCTGATTCACGTGAGAACGGATAAATTATTAATTTTTATTTTAATGTTAGTTTATTCACAGTATCATTACATGTTAAATACCTCGTACTTTAAATATTATTAACAATATTTATACTTTAGTGCTTAAACTCTCGATTTTATATTTACTTGAAAATAAACAAATAATTAATTTTTACTTGAAAATAAATTTAAGATTATTTGTTAAGTTAATTTATTTGAATTGATATAAAAATATAAATTTCGCTTTAATCATTATTTTAAAGATAATTTGTAGTTAAAATAATAATTATACATTTATAAAGAAAATAATAATTGTACTGCAAAGATTGTGACAAATATGTGCAAATAGATTAACTATTTTTTATACTACAAGATTGGTGATACTTAATGTAACTCAAATAATAAATTATTCATAAATTTAATAACCTAAAAACTAGATTAACTAATTACAACAAAAAATCTAAAAATTAAAAAAAAATAGTAATGAATCCAATTGATATTTTTTAATTTTTATACTTTTTTAAATAACAAATATTGCTATTTTTTAATTTAAAAAAACAAAAAAAAAATTAAAAATTAAAAAAGGGGCCTGACCGGTCCGGTTCACCATATCGGACCAAACCAGGACCGACCGAGCAATGAACCCATCCCGAGTTAACTCGGAACGGGCAATGAGCTCGCCCACTTGTTCGCCCCAATGGGTCCGGGACAGGCAATGAGCCTGTTCGGGCGAACAAGTGGGCGAGCTCATTGCCCGTCCCAGGTTAACTCGGGACGGGTGGATCGCTCGGTCGGTCAGTTTTTTTTTTTAAGTTTTTAATTTGTTTTTTATTTTCTCTCTAGTTAAGTTATTTGATTTGAAAAAATGATATGAGTAAAATGGTCCAAATTTAAAATATGTGGCTTTGAAAATAAACACCAACACCTAAAATACTAAACGGTCAACTAAACTACCCCCACATAGGAGGTACAATACTGCAAATCTACCAATCAATTATTACCAAACATTTTCTGCATATTCCCGATACTTTCTCTGTAAAAGCACAAATAAACAATCTGAATCGTTCCGGCCCACAGACAATTAAACAGTTCCGGCCGATTAGCTTGCTAAATGTTGTGTACAAGATATCTACCAAAGTCCTGGTTAATCGAATCCTCCCGAGTTTGATTGGCCCAGAACAAGTGAGTTTCATACCCGGACGACACATCTCTGATAATGTTGTGGTAGCTCAAGAGATGATTCATTCAATGCGCAACAAGGCTGGCGGGAAAGGGTTTATGGTTATAAAAGTCGATCTTGAGAAAGCTTATGATTTTTTGAAGTGGGAGTTTGTCGAGGAATCTCTCCGGATTGCTGGATTTCCCGAATTCCTTGTCAGAGGAGTTATGACTTGCGTTTCTTCGGCTTCTATGCAATTGCTTTGGAACGGAGTAGCCACAGAAGAGTTTAAACCAACTCGTGGAGTCAGACAAGGGGATCCGATTTTGCCTTACTTGTTTGTTCTATGTATTGAACGACTAGCTCACATCATTAAACATCATGTGGCGAATAGAAGGTGGAAAGCAATGGGGGTTGGTAGGAATGCTATTCATGTTTCTCACCTACTTTTTGCTGATGATTTGTTTCTCTTTTTAGAAGCGTCGGAGGAGCAAGCTATGCTTGTGAAATCGATGTTGGAGTTGTTTTGTTTTGCTTCAGGGCTTAAAGTAAGTGATTCTAAAATAAGGGTCTTTTTCTCTAAGAATGTGTAACCTGACTGACAGCAAACTCTTGTAAGTTTGATGGGTTTTACTGTGGTTGACAATCTTGGCAAGTATCTCGGTATGCCTCTTATCCATGGAAGGGTGCAACAAAGTACTTATGGTGGGATCCTCGATAGGGTTGGGGGCCGGCTTGCAGGATGGAAGGCTTCTTCACTTTCCCTTGCAGGTCGTGTGGTTCTTGCTCAATTTGTGGTAAGCACTTTACCCTTTTATTCAATGCAAACAGCCTGGTTACCAAGGTCCATTTGTGATGGCATTAAAAAAGGTGTCGTAATTTTATTTGGGGTGGAACATAAACTAGTCGTAAAATTAGTTTAGTTAATTGGCAGGTGCTTTGCTCTTCCAAAGAAGCTGGGGGTTTGGGATTGAAAAACCAGCGCCAGATGAATGATGCGTTGTTAATGAAGTTGGGTTGGGGGTTAATCAATAATCCTAATGCTCTCTGGGTTCAAGTGCTAAAGGCGAAGTATCATTTAAACCCTGTCGATATGTCGGAGGATTTTGTGTTTCCTAAAGGATCGGTCGTTCTACGATCCATCAGTAGGGTTTAGCAGCATGTCGTGAAGGGGATTCGATGGCGTATTGGTGATGGGAAGTCTGTTCACTTCTGGTGGGATAGGTGGCTTCACGGTGCGGAACCATTGATTCATGCGGCCATCGGGGTTGTGCCGGAGGAACAACTCGATCGGACGCTGGATCAATTTACCACGGAGACTGGCTAGTGGAATTAGAATGCTTTCATGCATTTGGTGCCTGCCTCAGTTTTGATGAAAGTTACGGCAGTTATGCCTCCGAGAGTGGATACGGGACCGGATGTCCCATATTGGGGTTTTTCAGGAGATGGCCGATTCACGACGAGATCGGCTTATCGTTCTTTAACCCCGGATGAAGATATCAGCAATAGGAGGCTGTGGAAGGTTATTTGGCATTGGCCAGGGCTGCAAAGGATCATACAGTTCATGTGGCTCGCGGCGAAGGGAGCTTTGTTAACGAATTGGCAGCGATGGCATCACCATCTGGCTGACTCTCCAGAGTGTGTGTTGTGTGGGGGAGTTGCCGAATCTACTCTACACGCTCTCCGTGATTGCCCAAAGGCTGCATGCATGTGGACTCGAATTGTACCTTCCGAAAATGTTTCGGTTTTCTTTAACCTGCCATTGGAGGAGTGGATTTGGAAAAACTTAACTAATGCAATTGGCATTAATAGAGAGCAGTGGGAAGTTTTGTTTGGAGTAACTATTTGGCAAGTCTGGTCACAATGAAATGCTTTTACTTTTTCGAATGAGCAATGTAATGCTAGTCGAATGCTAAAGAACGTGGAGAGACATGTCAACAGCATTTCAACAACACTACGGGGTGCGAGGAGTATTGGTGGAGTTGGCGTGGGAAGGGAGAACGTTTGGATTCGTTGGACCGCGCCACCGGTGACTGGATTAAGGTTAATTCTGATGGTGCTTTCAATTGTGTTACGGGAATGGCGAGTGCTGGAGGTGCTGTTCGAGATCATTATGGCAAGTGGCTTGGAGGATTTGCTATGAATATTGGGTATTGCACTATTACTGGTGCTGAGTTGTGGGAGATTTTTCAGGGTTTATATTTGGCCTGGGAAATGGGTTTTCGTCGTGTTTTGATGGAAACCGATAGTCAGTGTGTTGTGAAGTTGGTTTCAAGTGATGCGGAAGCGGTTGGAATCCACAGAAATTTGCTAAAAGCAATCAAGGAGCTGCTCAACCGGAGTTGGGAGGTTAGGGTTTCACATGAGTATCGTGAGGCGAATTTTGTGGCAGATTATCTGGCTACATTTGCAGCGAGTGGTCCTAGAGGTTTGGTTCATCTGGCTGATCCTCCTAGTGGTGCGATTCCTTGGATTCAACATGACATTTTAGGTGTCTCTTATCCAATGAGAGTGTTAGCATCTTAATTTAGGCCTTGGCCTCTTTTTTCTGTACCTAAAAAAAAAAAAACAATCTGAATCGTCCAATTAATTTTCTTCATAATAATCATCCAATTATTACCGCTGCAATTTCTTTAGCTACATACTTCCACCCATAATGAAAAAGAAGATGTTATTAAATTTCACGTTAGGGAGTTACCGTTATAGTTATGCTTAATTATTACTTGCATATCCCATTTTTCAGATTTATTCTTAGACGAGCTTATCAATCCCACAAGGACAAGTAGATCCCCACCCAAACAGTTCTGGTAATTCCGAGTACATCTGATTTGATCGAGACGTCCCCATTACTTGCAGCCCAAGAATACAGTTATTCTACTCCTACCCTACCAGTTAAGGCCCATTAAGAAATTCACTAACCAATACAAATATGTTTCGGATTCCGGATTTTAGTAATACTCTTATCTTTTTTCTTTGGGTCGAAATTTCAGTAAGTGGGAATAATAATTTACTGCCCATTAAATTAAAATCTCTTTAAACCACATAAGGAAAAGGAGAAAAAAAAAAAAAAAACCCCCAAAAAAACAAAAGATAACAACTGGTCTCCAAAATCCAAATATTATTTGTTTTATTATTTTTTTAAACTGATTTTTTTTATTACGCACACACATTGGCTGTGTCACACATAGAACTATAAACCCGAAACCAAAAACCCCTCTTCCCTGTAAAACATGCCCACTCAGAAAAGGCTGCCACATTCTCCAATTCAATGGCGGACACTAGGAAGAAGAGGAAAATCTCTCCCACCAGAAAGCTCCTTGTCAATGACAGAGTTGAGGTACTCCTGATCCTTCTTATGTTCACGTTACCTTGTGTTGAATTATGCGTCTGACCCTGAAATATTACGAGAAAATTGCACCCCCGCCTTTGTGTGTTCCTTTCGTTAGGAATTCGTCAATTGAACGGAAAAAAGTTTGGATTTTCGGTTGTGGGTTTTCTTTTTAATCGAGTTGATTGTAATGGGTCTCCTTTTTCTTGTTTCCTTTTTTGGTAAAATTTTTGGGGATGTTAGTTTTTGTAGCTTGTTTGAATTTTGAATTTGTAGTGACTTCATTGTCATTGTGTTCGTTTAAGATTTTTTCTGCTCATGAAATACTCGCTTGGTGCCCACTGAGGTTCCCTGGTTGAATGCATGTCGTTTTCTTGGGTGAATCATGCACTGATCAGGGGAATTCTTCAAATTGGGCAACTGAATGTGGGTGATTAGGATAGTTCATGTTGTTTAATCGAAATTAATTGCGCATGCATTGCTTACTTTTGCATTCAATTAGTGTTTCCATTTAGGTCTAAGACAGTGATTAAACTTCAATTAAGTCAATTGAGAGAATGAAGGGAATTCTGTGGGAGCTAGATTTTTCTGATTGGGCTTGGAAATTATGAACTGTGGGTTTTGTTTATCTTGGTCTTACGTGAAAAAATGGTGCAGGTTAGGAGTGTGGAAGAGGGGTTCCTGGGATCATGGCATGCTGGTGTGGTGATTGAATGTGGAAAGCAGAGTCGTCATGTACAGTATGATGAAATTCTTGACGATGATGGTTCTCAAGGTATGGTGGAAGTTGTAAATGTTAGCCCCATTCTTGAGGGGCTAATTCCTGGGGATTGTTCTACATCTGCTCATTGTCGTGGCAATATAAGGCCTTCGCCACCTTTGATTGAATTCCAGAGCTGGTCTCTTCACTTTGGACAGTGTGTTGATGTGTATTATCAGGATGCCTGGTGGGAAGGTGTGATTTTTGACCACCAGGACGGCTGTGATGAACGAAGAGTCTTCTTTCCAGACATGGGGGATGATCTGAAGGCAACAAAAGACATTTTGCGCATGACTCAAGACTGGGATGAGGTTACTGAAGAATGGAAGATTCGAGGAAATTGGTCCCTTCTTGAATTGCTGGAAGAAGTTGAGCTAAATTGGCCTCTCCTTATTTCTGTGAGACAAATTTGGTATGAAATACAGATACAAGTGGGCTTCGAAAAACTGAAGGACTGGACTAGTTCTTCTAAGGAAATTTGGAAAGAACTATTGGGGCAAGTTTTATCCGCCTGTTATAATTTAACTCTGAAGCAAATGCTTGAAGAAATTAGCTCGACAGGGGATTTCGCAGAGGAAAACCAGTTACCGGAATCAACCAGACCTGCATTTGAGGCTATTCTCAAGCCTGAAGAATTTTTTTGCAATTCTCAAGTGGGTGTACCCTTCCAATCTGGCTTCGGGATGGACTGTCATGCAACTTTACCTGAAGATTCTATCAATACAAATTCTTCTTCTCCCGAAGAAGAAAATACTCCCCTTTGTCTGGCCTCAACAACAGCAGATATCTTTCTGGACCGCAGTAATTTAAATTCAATACCGAGCCCTCATGTCTTGCAATCAATGTATAATCCCATGCCAGTAACTTCACTTCCCAAATTTGATGACAATAGCCATGTTGGTTCAGCCACAAACATCGAAATACACCATTCTATTAGAAAGCCGAAGGGGAAGTATGATTCTTCATTTAAAAAGCTGAAGAAGTATGTTTATTCTTCAAATGAAAGATCAAGATTGCAGTGGCTTCCTGCTGAAAGTTACCTGAATCTTGAAGCTGAAAATTGCCCTGATTCGGTTGCTCAGTGTATCAGCTCAAAGCGGAGTTCTCAAAATACGGACGCCAGGAAGCATCTCCTATTCTTAGGGTGGAAAGTTCAGTGTGCAAGAGACAAAACTATGACTAGGATGCGATACATTTCTCCAAAGAATGAAATGTTCTATTCACTTTATCAAGCTTGCTTGGCACTGCAATTTGAAAATCAGTCCCCAACCAGCAGAGAGAACAAGAGCTGTAAGGTTGATCAAACTGCAGGTATGATCTCACCCCAACTCACTGAGGAATCAAAGAAACAAATAGGTAACTCCAAAATTTCTTGTGGTAAAGATATTGTAAATGTTGAAAAGGAACATGGTTCACAAGCTGTGCTCGAGTATTCCCAACTTAGAAGGATGAAGCCAACTGGCCGTCTTGATAAGTTAAAGGATTTAGCTTCAAAGGTGAAGAAGCACCTATCTGTTGTTGGATGGAAAATCTATAATGTCGATAAGAAAGGAAAGAAGGAGCTCAGATATACTTCTCCTTCAGGAAAAACATTCTATTCTCTTCTAACAGCATGCCAATGGTATCTAACAGAAGTAGGTTACTCAGTTACTTGTGCTCCTTATGGTGAACAATTCAGAGAAAATCATACCCTCCAGTCGACTGGTACACATTCATCTTCTTCAGGGCATATGGAGTGCAAAATTTTGTTTGGGGACTTGCCCAAGAAGCGTCCTGCAGAATTGTTGTGCTACCAACATGTTGGAAAAGGTGAAATGGAAGTCCATGGAAGCAGTAAGGAGCCGAAGACGAGAAAACTAGGCTTGCGACAGAAGTCCACAGCCCCGGTTCGGCCTGGGCTTCAAAATGAAGGCCCATCTCTGTTTGATTCTCCCGGTTCAACTAAAAAAGGAAAGGATCTGAAAGCTGTATTCTCTGCCTCTGTGCTGCAACAGTCCATGGCCACACTTACATCAGCTCCTCAGAATGAACACTCATATTTCCTTGATTCTCCTGGTTCAATTGAAGACGGGAAGGATGTGAGGGCTGTACTCCCAGTCTCCGTGTTCCGTAAAAAGGCTCGGGAAGTGGTTATTTCTTCTTCAACATACCAAGTTCCCAGGACTGTCTTATCTTTGTTGATTGATAGTAATATAGTTGTGCCTGGAGCAATAGCACATTACAAAAACAGAAAGGATGGAAGCCGTATGAAAGAAGGAACAGTAAGCCGTGAAGGAATCCAATGTACTTGCTGTCAAGAAGTTTTTACTCTCAGCAAATTTGAAGCGCATGCTGGCAGCACTCTTCACAGACCATCAGCAAATATCTTCTTAGAAGATGGTAGGTCCCTTGTTGATTGCCAGATTCAATTAAAAGGTGAGAATTCGGTGAAGAAAAGAGGGTATCGACCAAATCAAGTCCAGGCTAATCGGTATACGCAGGAAAATGATTCTATCTGTTCCATTTGTCACTATGGTGGTGAATTACTTCTATGTGATCATTGCCCATCATCCTTTCATACGAACTGCTTGGGTTTAAAGGTATGTCGTACTCTTAGTCTATTTATTTATTTCTAGTCCTTTATTTTTACTTAAGAATTATATCACAGGAAACACTTGAGAGTATTAATGTCGTTCTTATAAGCAGGAGATCCCCCACGGTGACTGGTTTTGCACATCATGCTGTTGTGCAATTTGTGGCCTGGGAAGATTTGATGAAGACAACAAACAACATAAAGATGACAATTTTCTCAACTGTAGTCAATGTGAACGTCCATGTGAGTCGCTGTCTTCCTGTCTTGAATGTTAATGGCTAATTGTTTATGCTTGTTTTAGTCAGACATGTGCCCTTTTAAGCTGGAAGCTGATTAATTTGAGATGGACCTTAGGCAACTGTAACTGACATTTGAGTAATTTCATGCAGATCATTTTGGATGCCTGAGACGTAAAGATCTAGTTAAGCCTGACTATCAACAAGAAGGAACTTGGTTTTGCAATGCGAGATGTGAACAGGTACATAGTTGTCACTTTGTCATTTGCATGGTGCCTCATGTGTTGGAAATTTAACAGTTAAATATTTTGAGTGGATGCATCAATTTGTGTTGTAATCCATTGCAAATGACAACCTTTCTGTTATATACTGATACAGTTTGCATTCTCTACAGATACATTTAGGTCTCCAAAATCTTCTTGGAAAACCAATTCCTGTAGGGGAAGATAATCTATCTTGGACATTGCTGAAATACAAAAAAGCTGAAGTTTCAGCTGATAATGAGTGTGTGGAAAGCTACAGCAAGCTTAATGTTGCTCTCAGTATTATGCACGAGTGTTTTGAACCTGTGAAAGAGCCACGAAGTGGCAGGGATCTTGTCAAAGATGTTATTTTCAGTCGAGAGTAAGATTGTGCTCGAACAAATCTTCTTTTCTCACTCTCTTGCAACCAATTGAATTACTTTTGTAGCTTCAGGACTTACGGTAGTATTCTGATGCTGCAGGATACAGAGGCACCAATTGAACTTTAAGGGGTTTTATACAGTGGCATTGGAAAGAAATGATGAGTTAATTAGTGTAGCTACTGTGAGGTATCACTCTACAATTTCACATGCAGCATTACATAATCATTACATGGTACCTGGTTACAAGAATCTAATACCTTTAACTTTTCTTTGCTATTATTAGGGTTCATGGAGAGAAGGTTGCTGAGATACCACTAGTTGCAACACGGTATAAATATCGCCGGCAAGGAATGTGTCGTTTTCTGATGAATGAGCTTGAAAAGGTTTGATGCCTGAAAGATCACTAATCTTTCTTTTACTTTTCTTGAGAGTCAGAAATTTGTAACATTTTGTATCTTGTGATTGCCAGAAACTAATGGAGTTTGGAGTTGAGAGGCTGGTTTTACCTGCGGTTTCAAGTGTGTTGACAACTTGGGAAACTTCATTTGGGTTCTCAAGAATGAACGATGCTGAGAGATTAAGCTTTCTGGATTGCTGTTTACTTGATTTCCCGGGGACTGTTTTCTGCCAGAAACTCTTAAAGGACACGCCTAATCCTAATGTTTTGAAGGCACTTCGAGAAGATCCAGTGGAGCAAAGTGAAATTCTCGATCAAGGAACTACAGAGTATGCACCTTCTCCCTTCCTGCAAAATATCTATGCATCTTACAATCCAAATTCATTATCATAGTACTTTCTGCCTTTGCACTGGACATAACTTTAGATGAATAAAATTAAATTTGGTGTAAACTGATCACCGTGGCATGTTTCCCCTTTCAAGTATTTCACGAGGTTCCACGAGCGATGTTGACCACCTTCCTGCTCCATCTGTTGTTGTGGTAATCTCTTTCTTCTCAACTATAAAAATTTTCTTCTCCCACTTACATAACAAGTTTGTAATGTGTGATTCATTTATTTGGTTTATACCTATAATTATACAGATGAATGAGCCGCTAACAGAAGAGAACCAATTACATGAACAAGAGAAGCGGCCTTCTGAGCAAGCGAAACCCACACTGAATGAGCCACTGGTAGAAGAGAACCATTTACTTGAAGAAGAGAAGCAGCCTTCTGAGCAAGTGAAACAAACACCCAATGTCGACAAAGTTTCTGCTTCATCTGATGTTGTGGTAATTTCTTTCTTCTTAACTACACAAATTTTCCCACTTTAGTCACAAAATTGTCATGTGTTATTCATTTATTTGGTTTATACCTATGTTTTAAACAGATGAATGATCCCCCAGAAGAAGAAAACTATCAGATGAATAAGCCACCAGAAGAAGAGAACCATTCACTTGAACCAAATAACCAACCTTCTGAACAAATGAAACAAACACCACTTTATGGTCTGTTCAATTGCCAGAATGAGATTACCCCGAAGTTCTTGGTTGAAACTAGTGGTAAACTTCATGGGAATGCCAGAGATAACATTTTCAGATTCTACAAGCGGAGGAGATTGGCTACCTGCGAAAGTTGAGCCGCTGCTTCTCCTGGATTCAAGAGGAAAAGACAACACACAGATTCTCCCATGAAATGTGTAGTAATTACGTACCTTTTTTTTTCGGACAGAAGGATATCAAGTTTTGCAGACGAACTTGTGGGCTTCCATTGTATATGTGACAGGTTAGGAAGAAAGGAGCCCGAATGAGGAAATTTGTTAAGCATTTTGCTGACTTTTTTATTATTGTATATATAGTTCAACAGCAGCTTGTAGATCTCCCATTCCAGCTGATTTTGACAAGGAAAACGACAACAAAAGTAATGCAAAATTCAGTAATTCGATGTGAACGTTTGGACATGCACACAAATCAAGAAAACATTAGTGAGTAGTATAACTTATGAACCTTGTAGTAACTTTCTCTATAGTAAAGGTTTTTTTTTTTTGTTTTTTTACCAAACGACAATCAAATTTTATTAAAAAAACAGATTAAGACATACAAAATTATACAAGGATTGTATAAAGATAACCTAAATCTAGCTATGACAGATGAGAGCATCAACTCTAAAGATTCTAGCCATGGCAGATGAGAGCAGATGAAAGAATCCTTTATCTTTTAAAATACAGAGACTTTGAAGATCTAACTTGCACTGTTGACCTGGAATCAGTCTTCAGATCTTTAACGCTTGCAAAATTAAATCAACAGTAAATTTGCCTATTAACCTCTTGTTCACCTTCTGTAAATTCGCCAAAAATCTGCCAAAAAATTATCTGAAAAGTGTTCTCTGTTTAATCGGATTCATAGATGAGAATTTACACTAAATGACTAAATATACCAAGAAGACCTTTCAAAAAGAAATCTAAAATATATCTAAAGAGAATTTCAAATCGAAAGAGAAAACACCCAAAAATAGGTGAGCCAAAACTCCACCTAGAGGAGACAACAAAACAAAAGAAAAATTTTGATTTCTCATCCCCGTTCATGAAGGATAGGAAAAAGGGCAGGGACTTTCTCGGAGAAGAAGGATGAGAAGAAAATAAAAGAGAAGAGAAGAAAGAACGAACTTGAGTTTTCCAAAGTACTTTTTCAACAAAAAAATGTTTTCTATAGTAGAGTGACCATACTATTCCTTCCGTGCTCTAATTTTGACTTTCATATTTAATACAAATTGAATTAAAAACAAAAATTCAAATTGTATAATAATTTTAGAACGAAGAGAGTAATTAATTAATGGAGTAATTGTTATTGAAATAAGTTAATATGTGATAGATTTTAGTGATATTGGTGATTATATCAAAATATTAAAGAATGCAGAAATAATTTATTATGGATCCAGATAGAAATGTTATGGGATTGAATTTGGGAAAATCCCAAAAACTAAGCAGTATGAACTGTAATTTTTTTTCAGTTTTTTATTTTGAAAAGTGATCTAAAAATTTACATGATCTTCTGTGACAGTATCTTGTGACACAATCTAATTATTTCTTGTAAGTTATATAATTTGTCACATAGAGTGTCAAACAAAATGTGACAGAAAATTTTTTATTTTAGGTGATATTTTAAGATTTTCTAAAAAAATAAAGTATTTTTATTACCACCTATTGGATCACTTGTCGGTTGTCATTGTTATCCAATTTCGGTCTGCCGGTAGTGATCCGGCAATGATAACGGTGATCTGACGTTCATGGCTGAAGATTGAATTGAGAAATTTTTGAAATGAGATTTAAAATGGAAGTAAAAAGTTGCATACAACATTTTATCTAAGAAGAATATGGAACCCTTTTTTTATTTATTTATTTTTTCTTTTGGAGTTCCACAAAAAAATTAGAGTTTTATCGTCTAATTTTTATTTTGAATCACATTTGGAATATAATTCCAAAAACTATTTTGCATACATGTAATCAACCACCACCATTAACCGACCGTCAACAACTATATACTGACGGTGGCTTGCGGTGGTGTAACAAGCCCAATGTACAATTTGGGTTTACAGGCCCAACTTTGATGGACCTTTGTAGCTTTCTTTTCTTTTGTTTCAACCCATCAACTAATTCTTTTTTCTTCATTGAACCAAAAAAAAAAAAAAAAAAAATTCTTAAGTTCACTTTTTTGTTTTTCTTTTTGACACAAGGTGAAATTTAAACAACAAACAAACCAAATATACTCCCCCCTATGAATACTTCTCGACATCTAACAAGTAACAATGAACATTAATCATCATTTCGTGACATCATTAGGTGGAGGTGAATTTCAACTAAAGGAACTTAATTGGTCTCATACGATGGATATTATACACATGACTTACCAATTGAGAAGTTTTGATCTTCCAGAAATAAGTAAAAGATGGGTAATATGTACTCTCTCTGTCCTAAAATTATTGTACAGTTTGAAATTTCACTTTTAGTACAATTTGAACTAGAAATGAAAACTCTAACTGGACAATAATTATGAGACGGAAGGAGTATCTCCTTCCATATAGTTTAGTACTAGACCCAACCAAAGCTTCACTTTCAGTTAAAAACAAATGAACGATTTTCCGAGTGTGAGAGGACCACAATTTTTTTAAATTATTATTATTATTATTATTATTATTATTATTATTATTATTATACTGGTTCAGTTAAGTGATTTAATATGTTCAAAAGCAACTCATAATTAAGTTGCCATAATTGACAACTACCAAACCACAAAAATTGAGAGCTTTTCTAATTTTGTTGTGTGCCAATATTTGGCCATGTTGGATAAGTATGATTCAATGCATGAAAATTATGCACTTTCCAGCAAAGGTGTCCAGTTGACAGTACGATCGATCTCCTTCGAAATGACACAAAATTGTGTGAAGAAATGAGAAGAAGAAAGGGAGGAAGGTTCATAGTGAAACATTTTACCATTTTGTCATATATTGAATAGCAAATGAGATAAAATTAGTCGAGACAATAATTTCAAACTCCGAACATGCAATTAATATTAAAAAGAAAGAAAAGAAAATAAAGAAGAGGATGGATTGATGCTTGACTTTTCTTCATGGAACAAGTGATTCCAATTGTCTTTTAATGGCTTGTATAAGAGTGCAAGAAATGTAGAAGAATCTAATTCTGTAAAATCATGAGGAGCTCTGCAGATCAAGTAAAGGACATGACCATAAGCAGGAATTGGACCCATACTGCAAGTTGGGGCGTTTGGCGGGGGAAGACGTCTTCAACTACTCCCATTGTCCCTTCGCTTTATTTTTCAGTTGATTGCCTGCCTTTGCCTCTATATCTTAAATGAGGCAATTTGATAAGAATGGTGCTTAGCATTTTTGGTCCCATTAACACACTGGCTTCCCTATTTCGTCCCCCCTATTTCGTGGGCTTTCGCAATAAATATATATATATATATATATATATATATTTAATCTATTTTTATTTCCTTTTCTAAAATGTTTCAAGTAACCTAACTAGAAGAACGCCATCAACACAAACTTATGAGACGAATATGAATTTTTTTAAAAAAAAATTTCTTTGACTTAAAATAAGACTCTTATTATTGTATTCAGTTTGGATAGAGATAACCAAAAAGAGATACAAACTGATTAAACCAAGTTTTTTTAAAAAAAAAATCGCAAAAACGCTTTGCCACCAATAATGGAGCAGAAAATTGCCCCAGAACAAGGGGTTTCACACCAACTGCAAACTTGTTAAGAGGCATCAATTTGCGGAAATTGAACTTTCTCTGCTACAGTGCTCTTTACTTCAATAATGTGAATTTATGGTTGTACCTTTCGTCAAATAAACCGGCTATGAGTTGAAGTGTACGTCATTCAAATTGTTTAAGCACGAAGAGAATAAATACCTCAGTAATCTTTGGGGACATTAACCAAAATGTAGCAATGTTTCTAACTCGAAACAAACTGCCTCGAGCTTTGTTAACATGACTCCCGGGTCCCGGGATAGAAAATACTATACATATGGATGATCCAGTCAAGATTCGCAAATCGTTAAATTATCCTAGTTCTGCCCCGAAATTAATATCTAATTCAAATTATTGAACTAAAAATGGACAATAATTTCGAGATAGAGGGAATATTATTTTGGCCTTTAAACGATGTGATAATATTAATATTAGCATGATATTTTCGGTGATTTATGTGTTGTTTTGAATATTATCTATGCTAATAGTAGTGTTTTAGTTATTAATTTGATCATAGGAAGGATTTGGGACAAAAAGAAAAAAAGTGTTGATTTTGAAGAATTTTAAAGGTTTTATTGAATCAAGTTTCAAGTTAGAGAAGAAGTGGTTGATTTTCGCGTATCCACATAAAATCCATACCAAAATCAATGAAGGAAGTAGGAAATTTCAGCAACGAAGTTGTATTCCCGCATGGGCACGCTGCAATAGGGATTAAAGTGTAAATTTCTAAAGTTTTAGAGTTAATTTATAATTTTAGAAAACTTTAGAGATCAATTTGCAAATTTTAGAAACTTAAATTACTCTAAGGGGATTTTGAAAAGGTTGAACGACGGCTGCCCTATTGTACCCCATATATACTCTTTTTCATTGTTTTGCAAAGAGAGGAGAAGAGTCACAACATAAGGAGCGACGGCTGGAGCTCAAGACAAGGATTTCTTTCCGCTTTAGCTCTGTAATGTCAAACATCAATTCTTGTGTTGTTGATTTCACCATGTTTAGCAACTAAACCTCTTTTCTAGTTGAAAGATTTTATTGAAACATTGATGTCATTCAATTGCGATATCTAATTATTTTCTATTCACCAACATATTTTGAGTATTTTTTTTATTCTTTTCGATGTGTTTTGAAGATTATTAAGCATTTGAATAGACGGTAGCATTCAATTCTCCTAGATAATCTAATGTATTAAACAATCAAGTTTATTTGTTCCTTAGAAGAGACAATACAAGTGATTACTTAGTAAGTAGTTATTTTGTGTTGCGAGAATAAGTAATCATTTTTTAATGAAGCAAGGTTTGTTTGTTAGAAATTGAATTGAGGCTTTGCTTGTTGAAACCTAAGTCTTAGGAGGTTCCAGGTAGTGTTTTTGGCTATAGAGTGGTCGATGAAAGATTCTTAATCACTGGTAATAAATTAAAAGGCCGAGTTGTTAGGAGGTTCCAACAACGATAACCAATATATTCTTGATTTGTTGAGTTAATTATTGCATCAATTATCAGTTATATACATCAAGGTGGAAATTTTTCCTTTGACTAGAATTTTTCTTATTATTGATTTTTCAAAAGTATCTTTTATTGTTTGCAAATTATTTTTATTATTCATTAATCACAAATAAAAAATCTCTCACATTTAGTTATTTTATTTTTATTAGAAATATTTTCACTCACTTCCTTGCTCCTCGAAGAGATGACCCTACTCATTGCTATACTACCAAATTTCTTAGGAATAGGGTCTTTTATTTTTGTTGGTTCGACACCCATCAAATTTTGTCGCCGTGGTCGGGGAGCACGGTGTAAAGTGATTTATTTCTTGTTAATTTTTTTTTTATTTTGTTTGAGTTTATGGTGCGTTCTGAAAATACAGGCCCATTACTGTTTGATATAGAGATAGAAAAGACAAAGAAACAGAACCGAAAAGAAAAGAAGCAAAGAGATCAGTTTCTTGCTGCCACATCTAAGTCTCGGGAGGTTGATAGTCAAGAAGAAGAAGTTGAAGAATCTGAAGAAGAGGAAAGTTCTGCAAAGGAGGAGGAATTCATTGAACAACATATGGGTGACAGAACTCTAAGGGAGATTGCAACTCCATATGTGAACTTACAAACCTTTTGCATAACCATGCCTGCAAATACTCCACGTTTTGAGCTAAAACTAGGTACACTTCAATTATTAACTAAATTTTGTGATTTTACAGGTGAAGATCCCTATAAGCACTTGATGGAATTCTGTTCTATATGCTCAACGGTAATTTATCAAAGAGTCACTAAAGAGCAAATTCAACTACGTATTTTTCCATTCTCTATGGAAGACAAAGCCAAGCGTTGGTTATATGGTATACCAGCTGGTTCAATCGCTGTAATCGGCTAAAGAAGTTGTTTTTAAAGAAATTCTTTCCAGCACATCGTGCATCAAATATTCAGAAAGATGGAATCCGACAACTCCATGAAACATTATACGAATACTGGGAAAGATTCGGAGAGCTATGTAAGAGTTGTCCTCAATATCAAATCCTTGAACAATTGCTATTTCAATATTTCTATGAGGGGCTATCAGAGGTGGATCGAGGCAAGTTAGATTTAACCAGTAGAGGAGCTTTAATGAATAAAATGCCAGCACAAGCTACCAATTTGATTTCAACCATGGCTGAAACTACTCGGCAATTTAATAAAAGAGCAGAAACAGCTACCACATATGTCAATGAGGTACGTATTTCAAATTTAGAAAATCAAATATCCCATTTAACCTCTTTGGTGCGTCAAATGGTTGTAGGGAAAGTACAAACTGTCAAGGCTTGTGGCATTTGCTAAAATTTTGGGCACTTTACTGATTCATGTTCCAATTTGCAAATTCCAAAAACTTAAATTGCCCTCTGCGGATTTTGAAAAGAATGAACGACGGATGCCCTATTGTAATCATATATACTCTTTTTCATTGTTTTGAAAAGAGAGGAGAAGAAGTATAACATAGGGAATGATGATTGGAGTTCATGACAAGGATTTCTTTCCACTTTCGTCAGTTTTAGCTCAGTAATGTCAAACATCAATTCTTGTGTTGTTGGTTTCACCATATTTAACAACTAAACCTCTTTTCTAGTTGAAGAATTTTATTGAAACTTTGATGTTATTCAATTGTGATATCTAATTATTTTCTATTCACCATGTTTTGAGTATTTATTTATTCTCTTCGATGTGTTTTGAAGATTATTTAGTATTATTTGAATAGCTGGTAGCATTCAATTCTCCTAGATAATCTAATTTATTGAACACCAAAGTTTGTTTGTTTCTTAGAAAAGAAAATGCAAGTGATTACTTGGTAAGTAGTTATTTTGTGTTGCGAGAATAAATAATCAATATGAAGCAAGGTTTATTTGTTAGAAATTGAATTGGGTCTTTGTTTGTCGAAAACTAAGTCTTAGGAGGTTTTAGATAGTGTTTTTAGCTATAGAGTGGTTAATGAAGTTTTTTTAATCACTGACAATAAATTAAAATGTTGAGCTGTTAGGAGGTTCTAACAACGATAATCAATATATTCTTGATTTGTTGAGTTAATTATTGCACCGATGATCAGTTGGATACATCAAGGTGGAAATTATTCTTTTGACTGGAGTTTCTCTTATTATTGATTTTCCAAAAGTATCTTTTATTGTTTGCAGGTTATTTTTATTATTCATTAATCACAAATTCAAAATCTCTCCCATTTAGTTTTTTTTTTATTAGAAATATTTTCACTTCTTTGCTCCTTGAAGAGACGACCCTACTCATTGCTATACTACTAAATTTCTTAGGAGTATGTTCTTTTATTTTTGTTGGTTTGACACCCATTATGATGGTTCAGTTTGAATTGAACTAAAAGTGAAAATTCAAAGTAAACAATTATTTCGGGACAAAAATAATACTTTCCCTGCATTGAAAAATATATGTCCATTGATACTAGTTAAACACTTTTTTTTCTATCTCAAAATTGTTGACAGATTGTCTAAAAACCATTTCATACATGATTTTGTGCAATTGAATGGTTTGTACTTTTTAAAAATAGCTTAAAAATTCAAATAATATGGAGGTATACTTATACAAAGTAATGTGCAACATACATGGAATGTATCAATTACTGGTTCTAATCACTTCTTTTACATAAGGAAGCATATCAATATGGAATATTCACTCAATATTTATTTGATTAACATAATAATAAAATTATTCTTACAATAGCCTATTCACCAACTCTGTTCAATAGGTCTACATTATTTTACATGGATGAAACACAAATTATTACACAATTGATTCAAAAGTCCACTTCTCTGTTACCTACTATTGTAAGAGTGTCACGAGGACGAAAAGTACTAAGCAAGAATATAAAGCTCGTGAAAACCAATCAATAAAAAATATCAATCCAACATACATTCCCAAATAATCAATTTTTATTTGATTAACATAATAATAAAATTATTCTCACAATAACCTATTCACCAACTCTGTTCAATAGGTCTAAATTATTTTACATGGATGAAACACAAATTATTGCACAATTGATGTAGAAGTCCACTTCTCTCTTACCTACTATTGTAAGAGTGTCACGAGGACGAGAATCACTAACAAGAATATAGCTCTTGAAGGAATTGGTAAATCCATCAGAATTAACTCCATAAAGTAATGAGATCCAATCTAAAAATCACAGAGAAAATCTGGACCAAAATTGTGCCATTGTCAGTTTTCTGACTTTTTCTCCTCAATCCCCAACAGGGGATGAGAGGCACCACCACACTAATTGTTCAATGACTATTTCTTAAATACGATATTCACATTCGATATCATTGCCTCGATTTATTATATATAGAAAATTCTTTGCAGAAATGGAAAATGAAACTATAACTTTGTTTACATTAACCAGTTCGATTTCACCATAATTTTGTTTGCATCAACGAAAAATTAAGACGTAATTATAAAAATCAATTCAAATTTAAATTAATCCGAATAGTAAAACGTCATTGTACCAAGAACCTAATATAAAAACACGTGAACGATCTTATCTAACCTTTCACATGCACTGATGCACACACACACACACAACAGAACAAATCCACCTCTCCACCTTTCCTCAGTGCCCATTTTCTTTTTTTTTTTTTACTAGAAAACCAATCAATTAAAAAAATATCAATCCAACATACATTCCCAAATAAAATCCCCTCCCTCCACTCCATACCTCCCTCCTAAAATTCTCCCCAAAAAATCATCACACAATACCACTTTTCTTCTTTTTCACTCTGTCTTTCTTGCCAAAGATTATAGCTTTTTTTTAGCTGCTATGGCATTTCCTTTTTGCTCAAAATCTCTTTCTTTATGGTGTTGTATCTTCTCCTTCACAATACTATGTTGTACCCTGTTCCAGTTTTTCGATAATGCTTCCGCGGTTTTGTTGGTACACTTGAAGAACCACAAGAGCCATCCATACCATAGAAGGCCTATGCTTCAAGCAAACCAGACTTCATGTTCTCTGTTTGTGGGCAGTTGGGTTGTGGATGAAACTTATCCTCTTTACTCCTCTTCCTGTCCTGTCATCGACCCAGAATTCAACTGCCTAATGTATGGCCGCCCGGATACTGAATATCTCAAATACCGCTGGAAACCAGCCAATTGTGATATCCCCAGGTAGCTTTAGCAAGCATTAGTATTATTTGAACTTCATAAAAATATGTTCTGTCTTAGTTTATCTCATGTTTTTAAGTGGCTTTGGCAGATTCAATGGGCTTAATTTCCTGCTGAAAATGAGAGGGAAGACTGTGATGTTTGTAGGAGATTCATTGGGTCGCAACCAATGGCAATCCTTGATTTGTATGATTGCAGCAGCTGTCCCAGGATCCCCAACTCAATATGTCAGAGGTGACCCTCTGTCAACATTTAGGTTCTTGGTGAGAATAAAGATCAAATTTTTATCACTTCAAATTAAGGGGTTGTTCTGATTTACTGAGATTAATTTACCAATGCTCTGTTTTGTGTGGGATGGGATAATAAAATTTGGCAGGAGTACAGTGTGTCTGTCTCATTTTACAGAGCTCCATATCTTGTGGACATAGATTCTGTACAAGGCAAAAGAGTGTTGAAATTGGATGACATAAGAGGAAATGCAAATGCATGGAGAAATGTGGATGTTCTTTCATTTAATACAGGCCATTGGTGGACTCACAAAGGAGGTCTTCAAGGGTACATCATACACTAAACCATTTATTCTCCTTCTTTACTTTATTGCAGAAACAGAGCAATTAATGCTATTCTTTTTTACTTTTTATGTTTAAAATAAGCCAAACTTGACGTTTGTTTTCATTGGGAATCCAAGAAATTTCAAATGAATTTGGGAATGATTTTGTGTAGGTGGGATTATATGGAAATGGATGGAAGTTTTTACCAAGATATGGATAGATTGGCTGCACTTGAAAGAGGTTTAACCACATGGGCTAGATGGGTGGACTCCAATATTGACACCACTAGGACCAGAGTCTTCTTCCAGGGCATATCTCCTACACATTATAAGTATGTTATTTCTTAATCTCCTCAAAAGTTTCCCACATCTGTTGCTTTACAATTATTAAATTTTGCTTGGAAAAAGTGAAAAGGGTTTGATTTGATCTTTCTCTTTGTTCTGGAAAAATTATAGCTGTAATCACTAAACTGGCTAATAATGTAGTGCTACCTTTTTTTGGTACAACTTGGATTAGTGTGAGCCTGGGAAATTATGGGACCTTAGTCGCTTTCTGACTGTTGCCCACTTGACCAATGTTTGTTCCCATGTCTCTCTATGAATCTCATACTTCCACTTTTCATTTGATTGACTTGGGTTAATTTATGCCCTTTTGAATCAAACTATTCCAAAAACCAGTACTCTCTATATCCTATTTATGGAATTTGTGCCTTATAAATAAGAGGAACGGATCGGGGGTGTATTACATCTCAAAAAATAGTTAAAAGAGTAACTTTGGTGCCTCCCAGTTATTTAGAAGAGAAATTTGGTGGCCGAACTATTTTTTGAAATGTTGCCCAACTTTCAGTATCTATAGACCTTAGTCCACTTCCCACCATTCTGTTACTTTTTTGGGGTCAAGTTGGATGTAACTATTGTATAATTAGCAACGTGAGAGCAAATTTTTTTCCCCTTTTGTTTTGTGTGGGTATTTTTGTTCGATTTAAGCTAAATAATAATGGAATGGGTGAATGTAGGCTGCATAGATATCACTTGGCACTTGGCAGATGGATGCTGTCTGATATTATCCTGTCTTGCTTTGTTCATTTCCGTGGTCAGGAACTGGACAGAGTAAGTCGGGATAATATTAGCCATAAGGTGCCATCTTGCTTCCATTGTCACTTTGAATAAAATAATAAATTGGTATCCGAAATTGCTCAATGAAAATAGTTGGTTTTTGAGCAATAACAACCTCTAAGGAATATAGGCAATCAGGATTAGTTCTTTAAGTTGAATTTTTGCTATGATAATAACTCTTATAGATAATGAAGTTTAGGGAATTGAATGACAACCGAGTGGTTAGGTTGGTGTCTTTCCTGGTAATAGACCAGAGTTTGATTCCCACCAGGGGTTGTAAGGGGGGTTTAAAAAAAAAAAAGATAATGAAGTGTAATCTAGCACTTGATTACCCGTATTTTAGGTGTGCTAATGCCATCAGTTGCACAATCAACTTAGGTCCACTTGTAAGTTATTGAAGTTTCACCCATCAATTAAGAAGACTCTTAACAATCATTAGAAATTTATTAGAAGAGGTTTTCCTTTTCATGTCAGCTGGCGAACATGACCATAGATCTAGCTACCTTAGGTAGCAACTTTTTTTCTCAAGGGAAAAACAGCAGCTCATACCTTACAAAGTGTCACATGTTAAGTGTCCAAGGTCCAAACAAGAAGGATTGTGATGGCTGAACTTTGTCATTAATTGAGTATAGTTTTTGTTTTTATTCTTCTGTTCCTTTCACAGCCTTTGTGCAGCAAATGTCATCCCTTAGAATAAATAGTAGACAAAAACAGCCCACAAAATGAAGTCATGGCTGGTGGCTAACTACTTTGCATTATAGAGACCAGTGAGGGTGGCCATGTCGGTTGAACAGTAGTGCCCAACTTACAAAAACTACCATTGTAAATAGGGTTGTCATGATACAGTGAACTGACTGGCAAACCACCACAAGGAAGCAACTGTCTTTTCTTTTTCTTTTTTTTTTTTTTTTAACTGCCACTAAAGGATGGAATCAGGGAAAGTGAAACTTCTTCCTGGCGGTAGATATTTAATTTTGAGACCTCTTTTGTTCACTTATTATGCACACTACTTGGAAAAGTGATTATGGACAGTAACTACTGTGTAATAACTTCATAAAAATCACTAAGATTATTTGGGTAATATATTTACTGTTTGATTGCAAAAAAGCAAGTGCAGCGTAAAAGTTTGAATTTTACACCTAAAATTTCATTTCTATTTTATATTATATACCATCCTGACATTGTCTTGCTGAAATTTTGTTCACATTAACTGCAATGGGAAAAAAAATAATGCATAAATCTATTGGTTGAAAGACAACCAAGTCAGCTTCACGAGCTCAAGTGTTGTACCATAGAACTATCCTACAAATGAAAGGATGTGGATAGACCAGCATGAGTGAAAAAATCTAGAAGATCTTTTACTTATGTGTAGTATTTTTTATATTACTCTCTGACACACCATCTATCATGAACTAGTAAAATTCACTTGTTTTGTTAAGTACTGCGCAATGTATAATATAACCTCTAAAGTAGAGTTTTGCCCATTGGGAACCAATTAATACTGGCAATGGTAGCGAAATCATGGTTGACTTTGAACAGTGGTTGTTACTCAATTAAGTGCTGCTTTTCTGGTTGATTATGAAGATGAAACTGGCATTGTTTGATTGATTGATTGTTGCATCATGGCTATCCCTTTCTCTTTTGCCGCACTTCATGTGCATTCGTTGGTTCTTTGAGACGAACATTATGATTAATTAATGACTGTCTTGCACGATTCTACATTGGCAGCCCCAGTGATTGGAGTGCTGGTACTACAGCAACATCATCATCCAAAACCTGTTATGGTCAAACCACTCCAATGACAGGGACAAGCTATCCAGGCATCTACCCTGATCAAATGAAGGTGATCGATACAGTGATCCGCGAAATGAGCTACCCCCCATTCTTGCTCGATATTACACTGCTTTCGGCTATGAGGAAAGATGCCCATCCTTCGATTTACAGTGGCGACCTTACCCCCGAGCAAAGAGCAAACCCGGATCATTCAGCTGACTGTAGCCATTGGTGCCTCCCCGGCTTGCCTGATACTTGGAATCAACTATTCTACACTGCCATGCTCTTCTCCTTATAATTAAACCCTTCACTCTTAATTATATTTTACTTCTTCATATTATGGGGGGTGGGAATTGATTCATTCCAAGAGATCTTAGTGAAATATTTATAGGTGATCAAGAGAGGAGAGGCTCGAAAAGTTAAAGCTGTTCTTCCTCTCTTGTATGTAAAATATTAGTGAAATTCATTAATCAGTTACAGTACGTGATTAGACAAAGTGAAAAATATGTATTGGGCCGAAAAAATTGGTTCCTCTGTGAAATTAAATTCAAGATTCTCATCATCGCTTATTTATAATGGTTGCCAAGGATAAAACCGAAAACTGTAGTCGTATTATGGCACAGTGAAAAATAGGAAAGGATCCTGATTATGGTAGTGGTACACTTCAATTTTATCCTAAAAACTGATTCAAACTCTGGAATGGGGGGTTTTTGTCTTTTGGAGGGAATTATGCGAACTGGGTTATTGGCATTGCCGGGGCTTTGGGGCCTGAGCTGGTGCAGATTGGGCACGTTAATAATTGTCCCACATCGCCCATTTCTTGTCAACTTGTCCAATATAAATATCCGCAACTTTAACGATAGTCCGTCAACTCAGGTTGACAGGCCGATGATCCTGCTAAGGTGAGGTAATTTTTTTTCCATATTGGGCTTTTTGTTGAGCCCAAAAGCGATATGCAGTCCTTAGTCCTAAAAGGAAAATGATTTCTAAAACAATGTTTTCCTCTACCCCTCACTAAAAAACTTTTGATTTTCCCAATTGATAATGCTAACTTTTAAATATTGTGACAAATACACTTTCATTCTTTCCCAATAAAACAGTGATAAAGTCGATATTAGCTTAATATTTAAGGTAATTTATGTGTGATTTTGAGTAATATCTATGCTAATATTGGTTTTTTTTGCTTAATTTGATCATAGGAGGTGTTTTGGATGAAAAGAATGAAAAAGTTTTGATTTCGGGAAACTTGGAGGGCAGCTCTGGTTTTGGACGAATTAATTGCTTATTTCTCAAGTTTTTGGAGTTATAAATCCCTATTCTTTAAGAAGGAGGCAAGCGAACCTGTTCACACTCAAAGAAGGAAAGTTTCTCATAACAAATTGTGTTCACACTCGAAAAGACGATTCTTTCCAAAGAAGTATCTTTTAGTTGGAGGCTACTTCTATTCTTTTAATATACTTAATGTATTGAGTCTTTTAAAGGGTCTAGGTTCATTTTCTTGCTAGTTAAGAGATGAATTGTCAAAGAGGTAAATTTGGAAATTATCTTGTAAAAATAAGAAAAATATATTATATTCTATTTCTTCTCCTACTTATTAGGAGAGTTTTCAGCCATTATCCCCTATAAATAGAGGGGAAAATTCGGCCAACACAAGACCAAGAAGAGGAAGAACAGTAGGTGCGAATCTGAAGCTCCGGACGGACAGAATTCTCTCAGTATTCTTCTCTACTTGTTCTGTAACGTTATTCTTAAACTCTTTGGTTGTATTCTCAATATGTGTAGCAACTAAAATCTCTTTTCTAGTTGAAGGATTATTGAAGTCTTGATGTTATTTCAATTGTGAGATCTAATTGTTCCCATATGTCTACTAGTTGTGAGTATTTATTTATTCTCTTTGATTTGTATTGTTGATTATTTGGCACTAGTTGAATAGCTGGTAGCATTCAATTTTTCCTAGGTAATCTAATTTATTGAAGAACAAGGTTTGTCTGTTCCTAATAATAACAATATAATTAATTGCTTGGTAAGTAGTTTCATTGTATTGCGAGAAGAAATAATCAACTTTTAGTTAAGCAAGGTTTGTTCATTTAGAAGTTTAATTGGGTCTTTGATTGTCAAAAACTAAGTTCTATGAGGTTCCAGACAGTGTTTTTGGCTATATAGTGGTTAATGAAGGTTTCTTAACCGCTAGTGCTTAATTAAAAAGATTGAGTTGTTAGGAGGTTCCAAAAATGATAACCAATATATTCATAATTTGTTGAGTCAATCTTTACATCGATGATCAATTGTAAACATCAAGGTGGATATTATTTCTCTGGCTAGAGCTTCTCTCATTATTGTTATTCGAAAATCATCTTTTAATTACTTGCAATTTATTTTTATTATTCACTAATTACAAATATGAAAACAACCATCCTCGTTAATTTGCTTTTGATTAGAAATATTGTCACTTACTTATTCCCTGAGGAGACGACCCTACTCACTGTTATACTACAAAATCTTGTTAGGAGTAGGTTATTTTATTTTTGTTGGTTTGATATCCACCAAACAGAAATCCACAATTATATATTTTACAAGTGAAAATTTGTATAAGTTGTTCAGTGAAAGTCCAAACTGGACCATTATTTTAGGACAAAAAGAATATGTTTTTTTTTACAATTAAAATACAAACGTTATACTTTCCAGCATTCAAGATCCCAACCACGACAACAAGGAAAATCGACGCAAGGTTTATATGGAAAGGAGATGTAGATGGAAAGGGCATACATTGGAAATCCTGGCGTCATATATGTAGGTCTAAGTGGCGAGGAGGGATGCGGAGCACAATAGAGATGAATAGGACGTTTCTTGGAAAGTTAGCGTGGAAAATAGGGACGGATGAGGACTCTCTTTTTGCAAAGTTCTTTTGCTCCAAGTATTATAGTAAAACTGATTTCGGGGAGGTGCAACCAAGCAATGGAGGGTCGTGGGGGTGGAAAGGAATACTATGGGGAAAGGATCTAGTCAAAAAGGGGGTTAGATGGAAGATTGGTGATGGAAGACAACATTGGCATATCAAGAATAGATACTTGACACATTGAACCCACTAAGGCGCAGTCTATATGTGGCGGATTTATTTAATGGACCCGGTCAGTGGAACATGCGGTTGTTGAGGGCTACATATCCAAATGAAGTATTGCCAAATGTCCTGGAAGTACACATATGAGAAGATAGCATAATCATACCAGATAAAAGGGTTTGGGGTCTGGATCGGAAGGGACGGTTCACGGTGAAATCAACATATCATTTGGCAAAGGACATGGAAGAAGAAAGTTGCCCGTCGACATCAGTAGCCCAGGGATCTAATCTGATAACGGAGGAGGGGTTTTGGAAAAGATTGTGGGGGATGAAAATTCCGGAAAAATTAAAATTCTACTTGTGGAGAATAACAGTAAATGCGCTACTATGGAGGAGTTATGGAATAGGGGGAGGGTCTGCTCGCCAGTGTGCCCGAGGTGTGGTAACAACGAGGAGAACATAGAACACATGCTGTTTGATTGTATCGAAGCACATGTTGTGTGGAGGTTATCGCCTTTCGGCTTTGATTTTTTGCAAGGCCAAAAAAGTACTATCAAGGAATGGTTGGGAGAATGATTGACACAGGCACCGACCGATGATGATAAACGGATGGCGACTTGTGTTCTATGGGCAATATGGAGAGCGAGGAACAGGAAACTCTGGGATAATGTAGAGGTAAATCCGGAAGAAACACTCCAAGAAGTCTGGTGGATGATGGGAAGCCTCCAAGAAAAGGAGAAGGAAGAGTTTTCGCTCGGGGTTGAACACAAGAGAGAGACCGAGGTATGCCTATGAGGTCGGGAGGGGAATCTACAAGGAGATGCAGTGTTGGACGACATTAAGCAAGCAGAGGTGGATGGCTCTTACCGACAAAATACGCGTACAACAGCATATGGGGTCGTCATTAAGGATCAGGCAGGTGAGATGATAGCTTGCAGATGGGCAAAATGCAGCGCCATAGGGGCAACACAACTGAATTGGTAGCGGTGTGGGAAGTTTTGAAACTGGCAAGGGAATGTGGTTGGCTATACTTAAGGGTTATAACGGACAGTACTAGAGTGGTAGGTATTTTGAGAGGAGAGGAAGAACCGCCGGTGTGGTATGCTGGCCTAGGTGGTGATATAAAACGAATAGTGGGCCAATTTAACTTGTGCATTGTACGCAAAGTTGGTAGTAATATGGTATCTTTAGCACATTTGTATGCTACCTCTGTAAACTCTTAGTATTCAATAATAAAATTAGTTGTTAGGGGTGGATTTTTCCAGCTACCTAAATTAGTACTTGAAGCCACCAATTTTGAAGAATTTCCCTTTTGCCCCTGCCACTCGGACCGAACCGGGTAAGTCATTCGGTCCGTTTATTCGCAATATCGTTACATGTTGAAAACCTCGTACTTTAAATATTATTAACAATATTTATACTTTAGTGCTTAAACTCTCAATTTTATATTTACTTGAAAATAAACAAGTAATTAATTTTGACTTGAAAAAAATTTAAGATTATTTGTTAAGTTAATTTATTTGAATTGATATTAAAATATAAATTTTGCTTTAATCATTATTTTAAAGATAATTTTTAGTTAAAATAATTATTATACATTTATAATGAAAAATAATAATTGTACTAAAAAGCTTGTGACAAATATGTGCAAATAGATTAACTATTATTTGTACTACGAAGATTGGTGATACTTAATGTAACTCAAATAATAAATTATTAATAAATTTAATGACCTAAAAACTAGATTAACTAATTACAATAAAAAATCTAAAAATTAAAAAAATAACAATGAATCCGATTGATATTTTTTAATTTTTAGACTTTTTTAAATAACAAATATTGCTATTTTTTAATTACAAAAAAACAAAAAAAAAAAACAGAAAATTTAAAAATTAAAAAAAAGGGCCTGACCGGTTCGGTTCACCATATCGGACCGAACCAGAACCGACCGAGCAATGAACCCGTCCCAGGCAAAGAACGCCCCCTCTTGTTCGCACGAAAGGGTTCATTTCCCGTCCCGGGTTAACCCGTTCGGGCGAACAAGAGGGCGCGTTCTTTGCCCGTCCCGGCCGGTCGGTCAATGTTTTTTTTTTTATAAAAAATTTTTAATTTTTTTTTAAATTTTCTCTCTAGTCAAATTATTTGATTTGAAAAAATTATAAGGGTAAAATGGTCTACTTTTAAAATATGTGGCTTCAAGTAGTAAAGATAACACCCTAGTTTTTTTGTTTTTTTTTTAAAAAAAGAGTTTATAATTTCTTCGCCAATATCATTACTTATATCCCTATGTTAGAATAATGCTAGTAATAATGAGAGATGTTGAGCATGCTGTATATACTGTTCAACTTCAAAACATAGACAAATCTTTAAAAATGGAACCTAGCTTTTGGCTCTAAGGAAATAATTATCTTGCAAAACCGTTGGCAAGGTTAAGATGAAGCGGTGGTTCATCGCATACACGAATCAACTATTGGCTTAACTAAAGCGTTTGATTGTGTGAGGAGTATAACATCAAGCGCAATCACGACTCTCATCGGAGGTTTTCTTTTTAATATGAATAAAATAATTCATGAAATCGAGCTGTTTTTTCAGATGGGAAAG